ACGTTTGGGGTGCGGGAGAGGTCAAATCTCAAAAATTTTGTTTTCAAAATGTTCCTCGTCATGTAATCTATTGGAATATATGGGTCGTTTTCGTGTAGGAAGGGTGGCAGATTTCGTTACTTATCCGACGTGGTCCTTTTCTAAATATTATCAAAATTATTATGAAATAAGAAGTTATATTTTGTATATAAAGAATTGACAAACAAAAGATTGTTTTATTTTTGTTTATTATATTTGATCAACACATAATTTATTACCATTACGAAAGCAAATAATAAATTAATTTAATAAAAACAAGAACTAAAGAAGAAAAAACACTCAAATGACAAGAAAGAGTAGGAGTAGTATTAATACCCCGATTACCAGGAAGGTGTAGGGTGCGACAACAAAAAAAAAAGCGAAATCTTTAGAAGTTAGTTTGTTCAGTCCGTCTTTGGCTTGACTTCCAGATCTTCAGGTTCTAACCCTCCAGTAAACTGGTTTAAATTAGAGCCATCATTTTACCCTTCTGCCGTACCATCGACGTTGTTTTCATTACTTTTTCCCTAAATTGATATTGTTTTTCTTACACCACTCCAATGCATACGATCTAACGTGCCCCGTAATACCTTATGGTTTAAATTTTTTGCCAGATTTCGGACATGTATATAGTTTTTTGTGGTCTTTAACTAAAACTTCTGTGACTTTTCGCGATGTTCTTCCTTGGTCAGCTTTTTCCTCGTCAGCTCGTCTCTGGTTTGCCTTTTCCTTGTATTCTTTTATAGTTTGTTTGATGTTATGGTGTGTGGGGTAGGTTTTCACTTTGGAGTTAATTAATTCACGCCACAAATCCCTGTCTTTGACGGCTCTCCTCCAGTTCGTGACGCTAAACTTGTCTAAATCTTCTTGCACCTTGATTTCCCACTTCTTCCGGATTCCTATATTTGTTGGTCGTTTATCTTCTGGAAAGTACGAGTACATTGCTTTCTTCACCAGCGATGCATCCTGTTGGCTGTTTTCCATTCGATTGGCATGCTCGAACCATCGCAACCGGTTACGACGCATTATGTCATCGACGGCTGGTTGTCCAGAGAGTTGGAGAATTTTTTCACTTGAAACTCTATCACTCAGATTCAATCCAAGCAAAGTTCGCAAGAATTTCATGTAAAAGGTGTTAATTCGTCTTTCCTGGATCACTGTGAGTGATCAGACTTCACTTCCATAGAGTAGTACCGACAGTACACATGCTCTAAAGATACGGAGTTTAGCTTCAATTGAGACAGTTTTCCTATTCCATACTACATTTCTCAACATGTTGAACGCCGTTGTAGCTTTTGCTAACCGTGCTTCTAGTTCCATGTCCATTTGCCCATCCCTTGCAACAACCCAACCAAAAAGTTATATTTGCTTGTTATTATTTTATTTTTCCATTTTCTATATTACAATATTACAATTAGTAAAGATTTTGAATTTATTTAAAAAACTCTAGAAGAAATGTATAAATGATTTTAAAATGTTTACATCAAACTGATTTATGAATTTCAACATCTATTGTTTTATTTACAACGAAAGCATTGTTTGTGAAATTTCAACATACAAACTGCTCATATCAATGGATTTCTGCAAGAGTTTTACGATCATCATTTAAAGGATTATAGATTTAAAATAAAAATAAACACAAACATGTTTCTACGATATGATTGAGTAATCTTGATCGAAAAATTCCTTGCAGAAGTTCATTGCAATCTATGAGATAAATATAATTTTAGTTTATCTCATAGATTTTTCAATTTTATCAGTATAGCTAATCATTAACTCTTATTGGTTTGGTTAATAGTTAATCAATGACTAATTAACAATTGAACAAGTAAAACAAAAGGATAAAAGATTTAGAAAACTCAACGAATAAACGAAACGTAAGCGACTAAAAATATTAACAACGACTGTTTACTTATTCGACCGAGAAAAAATTTGGGAAAGTTGGCTGCATCAAACTTAGCTAGTACTTCAGCTACAGTTATCAGATCACCTTCTAAAATAAAATATAACTTACCCTCCTCTATCCTTGTTTAGTTTCTCTCTTTTTTTGATTCTTATTTTTATTATATTGTATAAAAGTAAATTTGTTATTGTATTTGTTATTGTGAATTTTATTGCTAAATTTGATTGTATATACAAGTCAAGGTTTGAACAAGTTAGGTGAAACCTAACAAATGGTGCACTAGCCAAACTTCCATTCTGACGTATGATCATTACCAGAGCAGCCGAACAAGCGATTTTACAGCACCAACAAGAACTTCTGCATTACTATCTACTTGATTTTGTTAATATTGAAATCGAACAGATAAACCATTTTACATCACAGCCTCAAACTACGTTTATTTATCAACCAAAAGAATTTATGATGGCAGATGCGATAGTCAAAGATCTAATCGTTGATAAATTGAAAAAAGCAAATACATTCAGTGGAAGAATTGAACAGGATGTTGATCTGTGGTTACGTGATACCACCGCTTCCTTTGATATGGGAAAATTAGGTCCTAGTCAAGCACTACAAGTTGTACTGAGCTTTCTTACGAACAATGCTAAATAAGCGTGTCATCATTACAACATGGGATGAATTTGTTCAGCATCTTCGAGCTGCATATCATTCACCAGCTGCTAAACAGATTGCTTCACAAAAACTTCGTAATCATAAACAAAGATTACATGAACGTGTTACTGCATATTATACTGATATTATACGTCTATGTAAAACCATCGACGATCGAATGACTGACACATCTAAACTCGATCATCTACAACAAGGTTTAAAACCATCTTTAACCAAGGAAGTTTTACGTAAAAAGCCAACAACACCCAGTGAATTTTTAGAATATGCCCGCGAAGAAGAAGTTCTAAATCAACTGGTTAATGCCAACGAATCTGATTATACTGGACAACAACTGGATAAACAAGTACGTGTTCAGGAATTCACTAATCAACCGCCATATAATTATTCATCATCAAATGTGCCTTATCAGCCCCGATATACATCACCATATTGTTATCCGACTCCTCGGTCACCATCGGCTAATCGTCCTCGTTCGCTCTATTATTCACGTTATCCAGCATCACGTCCTCCTACTTTTCGTTGCTATAATTGTAATAAAACAGGACATTATGCTCGTGATTGTTGGCAGCCAAAAACAGCAGTAACTGAGACACTTACAGATGGTAGTGCCTCTTCGGACTTAATAAACCCATCATTAATCTTTATAAACACTTTCACAAATGGGCGTAACGTTTTAGTTTTATTAGATACTGGCGCTAGTCAGTCTGTTATATCCGAAAAAACGTTACGAACAATAAACAAGAAACATTATTATAATCCTTCGCAAAAATTAACCCTAGGCGACGGAAAAACATCATTAGATACCCATGGATCCATTCAGCTTAACATCTCTCTTCAAAATCTTACCACTCAAATCGTTAGTAGTCAAAGAATTAGCAGCAGAACTTATTTTGGGAGGTGACTGGATTAAGAAATACGATGTAAATATGATGCGGTCAAAACGTCAGATTTCTGTATCTACGTATTATAAAAGATATTTTGTAAAGGACAAGTGGCGGTAAGGCCATTTTTCCGCCCCCAACATTTAAGAAAAAAAATTACATGGTTAGAATCAGCATTAAATTCTGAACAGAATCATGTAAATACAAAATAGGTGCGTTTGTAGCTCGTGATCTGACGATTTTAATGAGATAAAACATTTGCGTCTATCTCGAGTTGCAAAAACCTAGAAAGGTTTGCAAGAACACTCACAAATACATATTATGAGACATGTTGATGCTATCTCTATTGGATAGGATTTTTTAATGGGACTTTAAAGCGTTAAATTGAAGAAATTGTGAAGTATTGCAACCCTTAATACTTTTTGCACAATGGTTCTGCTTCCAAAACGGTTTACATCCAGTCACATAGATAGTCCTGACTTCAAGGAATCTATTGATGTATTACGAGTGTCAGTTATACTCAGTTTTGACCAAGTTATAGACAGCATAAATCTCGCATTACATTTTTGATGTAAAATGCGCTTTTCTCAGGAACGAAGCGTTTCTGAAAGCTCGTTTTTTTATCACATACTAGTCGTCCAAGAAGGAAAAAACAGTAAAATTTTGACCTCAAATGGATCACTCATTTTCGAGTTATAGACAAAACAATTTTTGAAATCTCGCAGGACATTTTGTGTGAGAACAACATTGTATAGCATAGTCAAACACGGTTTTTATTGAGATATAAAGACTTGGAAAAGACCCTTTTTGAAGCAGGAGATCAAGAATACTTCATGCGATTTTGATAATGTTCAATAATTAACAACGTTTTGAGTATTTTTTAACATTTCTTAATTCATAACATTGATCGAAAATGTCATCGTGCAATACGGAATGAGATTCTGCATCGAATCGACTATTTTCGACTCTTCATACAGGTCACATAACTAAGCAGGAGATCAAAAATACTTCAAAGGGTTTTGATAATGGTCAATTAATAGCAGGCTTTTGAGCATTTTTAACAGTTCATGTCTCATAACACGGAACGGATAAGTCTTCGGGCGATAGAGAATATATCCGCATCGAATAGACTGTTTTAGAGACTTCACACCTTTGACCTGTATAAGCAGGAGATCAAGAATACTTCATACGATTTCGATAATGTTCAATAAGTAACAAGGTTTTGAGCAGTTTTTAACATTTATTGACTCATAACATGGATCGAAAATGCCTTCGTGCGATAGAGAATAAATTTCTGCATCGAATAGACTGCTTTAGAGACTTCATACATGTGACATGACTAAGCAGAACATCGGAAATATTACAAAGCATTTTGACAGTGGTCAATAAATAACCAGGTTTTCAGCATTTCTTGACTCGTTACATGGATCGAAAAAGTCTTCGTGCGATGGAGAATAAAATTCTGCATCGAATCGATCATTTTCGAGATTTTGTACATGTGACATAGCTAAACATGAGGCCGAAAATACTATAAAGCACAAGAAATAACCTAGTTTTGAGCATTTTCTAACACTTCTTGACTCATGAGATGGATCAAAAATGTCTTCGTGCGATGAAGAGTAAAAGTCTGTATCGAATAGACTATTTTAGAGACTTCATACATGTGACATCGCTAAACAGGAGATCAAGAATGCTTCACAGTATTTTGATAATGATCAATAAATAACAAGTTTTTGCGGAATTTCATTCTCAATCGCACGAAGACATTTTCCATTTGTGTTATGAGTCAGGAAATGTTAAGAAATGCTGAAAACCTTGCTATTTATTGACCATTTTCAAAATGCTTAGAAGTATTTTCGATCTCCTGTTTATTTATGCCACATGTATGAAGTCTCAAATATAATCTATTCGATGCAGAAAGTTATTGTCTGTCTCTCGAAGACACTTTCGATCCTTGGTTTGAGCCAAGAAATGTTGAAAATTGCTCAAAACAGCAATATGAAAAGGCTTCGAAGTATTTTTGACCTCCGCTTTGGTTATGCCGCATGTGTGAAGTCTTTGAAATAGTCTAATCATCAGAATCCTTTGCAGTATTTTTGACCTCTTGTTCAGTTATCTCCCGTGTATCAAGTTGTTGGTAGTGTCACTAAGCATTATCTAGTGCTGCTGCAGAAGCCAAACTCTGTTCATGTTTTACTTGACGAATTTCTCTTCGATTTTGAACTA